TATACACATGGAGACAGGATTGGCCTATGGCTGCCGCAAACCTGTGCAGTGGCACAGCTGCCATTATGAATCGAGGAATAGCTATTTTGCTTGCTTCGGCATGCCGCCATGCTTTTCGTGCATGGGATGCAGCTCACCACACACCAGGGTGCAGAGGGCATCCCTCAGTCACTCCGTCACACTCGTGCGACTGCTGCGCGGTGCCGCGGGCACCTGAAATGACCATCATAGGCGTGCGGCTTTGGCCCAACCACGACACTGTCCTATTGTTGTGGCGCTCGCAGGTATCATATCATATCCACGGCTATTGGGTCGATCAACTCTTAGATCAAGGCCAACCACCAAGGAAGGCCATGGTGGGCAAGCCCGTGGACTTGATCCTTGAATGTTTTGCTGCGTCTAGAGCGTTTTAATTGATCGCACGTATTTGCAGGGCAACCCCTATCTGGTTCTGTACAATGGGGCGCTGTTCGCTGGGTGGTGAGCTCGCGAAGCGACTCTCAGGCTCTTGGCAGGCAGCAAGATGATGTCCTTGTATGCAATCCCAGCTGCCTTGCCTTAGCGGTGCGGGGGAACGCCGACTGCCAGAACTGCGCCTGTACGCACTTCCCGGCGCACTGTCGCTTCAACCAGGTCACCCTTTCCGGTGTCGCGGCAGGGGCTATGTGCTCTACCTGACTTACAAGACGGTGCTGGAGGGTGGCGGCACGCATGAGGTCTACAAGGTGCGCTGGCAAAGGCATGTAAATGACAACAGGCTGATAATGTCAGCGAGCAGCGTAGGACGGCGGCTCAGGGCACTGCATGCAGGCAGCCTGCTGCAGCGCATGGGCTGCGGCCTGCAGGAAGGCTCCTTGTGATGCAGCTGCAGCAGGGCTGTCGCCCACGCAGCGGGCACCCGCAGGCTGCAGGTAAATGTTTTTTGTTGCGCAGATGCAACGCTGGCACATGTATCACTAAACAAAAAGCATATGCATGCATGCTGACTGTGCTGAGTGACCAGGCATCCCTCATCAACCCCAGGCTGTCGAGCTGCCCCTGAAGGTGTCCCAGACCGCGGCCATCTTGGAGGTGGTGCACTCCCTGGTCGGCCTCGTGCGCTCGCCAGTGGGCATCACTGGTGAGAACAAAGAATCAGCAGGCCTGCGGCGGCACGGGTTGCACCTCCGAGGGCAAGGTTTTGGATGGGTAGAGTAAGTCTGGCTTTGATTGCAGCAGCAGCGGCAGCAGCGGCAGCAGCGGCAGCAGCGGCGATTGTATCAGGGGCTGCGGTGGGCCCAGCAGCCTGCAGCTCGCACGGTACACGTCAGGGGGCTCTCGTTGTCAAGGTGATGCTCGAATCAGAGGCAAAGCAGGGCGCACCTCGATTGATGTGCTGACCGGCTGTCATGCCATTTGGGAGCTGCACGCAAGACTCCTCCTTTGCCATCGTCAAACCCTGCCCCGCTGGCCACGTTCCATGCGTCCCCCGCCGCCTGCACCCGATGGCACAAACGCAGCCATGCAGGTCGCCTCTCGGATCTGGTGCCTCTGGGGCATCGTCGTCGCCGCCCCGGACGCCACCGTCGGCGGCGGCATCCCCGCCAAGCCGCTAGCCTACGTGGGCAACCTGCCCATCCAGCTCAACCTGATCAGCCTGCTGACGGCCTGGTGCCTGTCCGAGGTTATCAGGTATGGCTTCTTCGCCCTCAAGGAGCTGCTGGCGGAGGCGCCCTACGTGTCCACGTGGCTCAGGTGGGCAGAGGTTGTCAGTGTGCGCAGAGAGGGACAGTGCAAGAGCACAGTGCACGAGTGGGTGTGCAAATGTGCATGTGTGGTTGGCTTGGTGGGGGTGCACGCTTGATGTGGAACAGAAGCGAATGGAATACGCTCACGGCAATGCGGGGCTCTCAGGTGGGATCCAGAGGGAGAGGCGCGCCAGCGCGCAGCTTCATGGGAGCCACTCTGATGGGCAGCGGGCGCGGCGTTCACAACTTCAGCCACGCCTCCCCCCTCAATCTACCGCTCCACCCTCAGCGTCGCAACCAAAGCCACGCGGCACAACCCAGCGCTTCTCAGCGCTCAGTGCAGCGCTGACGGACAGCGTTCGACCCTGAACTCAACCCGATTTTTACCACTCCCTCCCTGCCATGCAAAGCAACTCACACACATAGACACATATGCGTGCGCACATTCACATATACACACACACACACGCACACGCACACACACATACACATACACATCCAACACCTCCACTACCTCGTTCCCCCATCACCACACCTTCCTCCCAGGTACTCTGGCTTCATCCTGCTCTACCCCATCGGCGTCGCCTCTGAGCTGACCATGGCCTGGCTGGCCCTCCCCGCCCTCAAGGAGAGCGGCCTGTGGTCAATCACCATGCCCAACAGCTACAACTTCGCCTTCTCATACTACGTGGCGTGCATCATCGCCATGCTCACATACATCCCGGGTAAGGGGGGGCCTTTTCCTAGGCGTGTGAATGGCTGCATGCATGTGTGTGTGTGTGTTTCTAAGTGTGTGTGTGTTTGTGTGTGTGTGTGTGTGTGTGCATGTCTGTGGATGTGTGTGTCTGGTTTGCTAGTCAGCAGCTTATGTTCACACAAAAGACCTTTTGCATGTGCTGTGTTCCCGGCTGCGCCAGATCGTTGTCAATGCGTCATCATTGTTGCCCCTGCCCCTCCGACAGCGTGCCCCTCTTCCCCCCACACACACTCCCGATTGCCAGGCCTCCCCCAGCTGTACGGCTACATGCTGGCCAACAGGCGCAAGGTGCTGGGCGGCGGCGCCAAGAAGAAGAAGACCGCATGATCGCATGTCACGACCATGGCGACCTCACTTCTCTCATAAATGGACGCACCAACGGAATATTTGACGGGAGGCTCGCTGCCAATTTTACCACCTGCATGGCAACGATGCCACCTGGATCAGAATCCTTGCAAGCAGCGCACCTGCGCGCGTGCACACAACACACTGCCGACCCCTGGAACGGGCGTGGCGAGATGTACCAACTTTGATGCAAGCGCGCTGGCGACGCCAATCTATCCCTGCCTCCTCGGATCATCAAATGCACCTTTCAGATGAATATGCATGACAGCAGGCAACAAAAATGCAGCAGGCATGTGAAGGCAAGTCGCATCACACAAGATTGTGAAAGCCAGCAGAGGGTGCCAAACTACTGGTGGTTTCATGAGATCTAGCCAGATCACTGCGGCTTGAGCGGCCACATAAGCGCCAGATCTTCCTTTAGGGCTGCCATCACATCCGTGAACCGCCGCGCAGCGAAGTCGCTGCTGCTGTTCGCTATCGACGCGGCTACCGTGAAGCTGCCCCGCTGCTGCTGCGAAAGCAACACCCGCACGCTCAGCTGCCCGCCGCTGCCGGCGTCGCCGCCCCCGCCGCCGGCGG